AAAATAATAAATGGAAAAAAAAAACCTTAACGCGGCTCAGCTCTGCGGTCGGAATTGGCTCAGCTTTAGACACAAAAGGAGGCTGGAATAGAGCGGTTCAGGGTATGGCTCTACTTGGCTTTGCGGCTCAATTGGGAACGGGTGATTCAGGTCAAACGCGGGTTGCGTTAAGGGTCGGGTTAGCTCAAGCAGAAACGCGTGGATCCTCTGAGTTTACTAACGCCAAAACAATGTCATTTTAGCAAGGTATTTAAGGCTAAAAACTCAGCCTTTCAGCAAATGCGCCTTTCTCATTCTCTCTACCCTCTTTCTTTTCTCCTTTTTCTCTTTACCTACGAAGAACATCGGTGGAATGCTCACTGATTTCTGGGTTTCTCCATCGAAAACTGGGTTTTTTCGTCTAAAAAGTAGCCGAAAAACTTGAATTTCACCAAAAAATTCAACAGATTTGAAATTTTTCTAGAAATTTCCAGAAAAAGAATGCCAAAAATTCTATAAAAAATTCCACAAATTCTTAAAATTGTTTCTAACACACTAGAACCCTTTTTACCACTATTTGCTTTTTGTGTTATTTCTGTGTTTTTTTTCCCGTATGTTCCAGCACCTATTTATTGAGATTGATTAGAAGAGCTTCTGATCAATCCCAATTCCATTTGGGATTAAGATTCATTCTTTAAATCCAATCCAAACTCTTTTAGCCCCTTTATTCACGACAGAACATCCTTCTAGAACAAAAAATTATATGTATAAAATAATAATTAAAACAAAATTCAGAACAGATAAACCCAAAAAATAATAATAATAAAAATAGATAAATATAAAAAAATACATTAATAGATAAATAGTAAAAAAATATTAATAGATAAATAATAAATATATATTAATAGATAAAAAATACAAAAAAATGGGTCATCTTACCCCATTTGGACTAGGCCTAATTGATCCGGACCTAAACCAAATTGAGTGTCTACAGCTGCCCCTCTTTACACATTATCTGTGAAACAAGAATTGTGCAAAGACGTAAACACCCATTCAAGACTCAACTCGACACTTTTTTCTTTTTCTGTTCTTTTTTTTTTTTTTGCTTTTTTTTTTTGGTTAAAATTTTGATCAAAGCTCATCTAAGTAAAGGCTCAACGACTTTGAGTAAAATAAACAAAGCTCCTCTAATCAGAAGCTCCACAACTTTTGAAAGTAAATTGTTCCTCTAAATAGAGGTGTAGACACCCAATTGGGTCCGGCCTAGATCAATTGGGCCTGGCCCAAATGGGTAAGACCAATTCAATTTTATCTTGTATTTTTTTTTTCTCTTTTCTTCTTCTTTTATATTTTATGTATTGTATTATTTATTATTATTATTATGTATTAATATATGTATATATTTATTTATTTATTTTTTGTTAATATTTATGTGTATTTTATTATTTATGTATATATATATTTTTTACCTTTTTTATTTTATTCATTTTTGTATTTTTACTTATCTAATTATATATCTGATATATTTTTTTATTATTATTTATCCTATAATATCTGCTGATTTATCTTCTCTAATTATCTAGTTTTTTATTTTATTTGATTTTGATTTTGGAGGGCTGAGATTGAAGGCTGAAGAATCCCATTGGAAATGGGAATTCAATCAGAAGAGTCCAGTGGGATTCAAAGATTGAATTCCCGTCCAAGGAGGAATTGGGATTGATCAGGAACTCCTGATCAATCCCTATAAAAGGGACTCTGGAACAGAATGCAAGACACACAGAAAACAGTAAGCAAAGCTACTGATTTGAGAGAAAAGGAGGCGTATAGGAAGCTAGGAAAAGTTTAGGAGTGGTCTGAGAGTGAGAAAAAATTTTTAAAAATTTTTGGCGAAAAATTTTTCTGGAAATTTCTGGGAAATTTCCAGAATCCGGCGAAAATTCTGGCGAAATTTGAATTTTCCGACAACAATTCCGGCGAACATTGAAGTTTCCGGTGACCTACCCAGTTTTCGGCGAAGAATCCCAGAAACTGGCGATCTTCCGGCCAACTTCCGGTGAAATTTCTAGATTCCGACGACATTTTCCAGAATCCGGCACCGGTGTTCTTCGGTTTTTTAGAGAGAAAGGAGAGAAAAAAGGAAGAAGAGAGAGAGAGGGAGGAGCATTCTGCCGAAAAAATGAAGGGGATTGCCTTTTATACCCTCCCAAAATGACGTCGTTTTGGCCTTCAGTAACCCAGAGGATCCGCGCGTTTTGCCGAACCCGACCCGACCCGGGCGTCGACCCGCTTTCTGACCCGCGCGTGCCAGCCCCCTCCGAGCCGAGCCGACCCGAGCCACCAAGCTGCTCCCGCCGAGCCGTTTCTCTTCCTTGAGCCGAGCCGAGCCGAGCCGCGATCCGAGCCGCTCCAGGTTTTTTTTTTTTTTTTTTCTCTTTCTTTGAATTTTTTTCTTTCTTTGTTATTTGTTTATTTTATTTTTATTTATTAGATTAGGTTATGTAATATTCTTTTTATTTATTTTTTATTATTTTATTTTCTTTAAATAAAAATAAAAAATTCCAAAAAAATATATTTTTAGGGAAAAGTTGAAAGTATCAATTTTCCTCAGAAATAAATTTCAAAAAAAAAATATTTTTAGGGAAAAGTTGAAAATATTTATTTTCCTCAGAAATAAATTTCAAAAAAAAATATTTTTAGGGAAAAGTTGAAAGTATCAATTTTCCTTAAGAATAAATTTCCAAAAAATATTTTTGGGGAAAAGTTGAAAGTATCAATTTTTCTTAAAAGAAAAATAAATTTCCAAAAAAAAATATTTTTGGGGAAAAGTTGAAAGTATCAATTTTCCTTGAAAATCAAAATTTCAAAAAATATTTTTAGGGAAAAGTTGAAAGTATTTATTTTCCTCAGAAATAAATTTCAAAAAAAAATATTTTTAGGGAAAAGTTGAAAGTATCAATTTTCCTTAAGAATAAATTTCCAAAAAATATTTTTGGAAAAAAGTTGAAAGTATCAATTTTCCTTAAAAGAAAAATAAATTTCCAAAAAAAAATATTTTTGGGGAAAAGTTGAAAGTATCAATTTTCCTTGAAAATCAAAATTTCAAAAAAAATATTTTTGAGGAAAAGTTGAAAGTATCAATTTTCCTTAGAAATAAATTTTCAAAAAAAGGTTTTTTGAGGAAAAGTTGAAAGTATCAATTTTCCTTGAAAATCGAAATTTCCAAAAAAATATTTTTGGGGAAAAGTTGAAAGTATCAATTTTTCCTACAAAAAAAAATCATTCTTTCCTTCCTTTCTATCTTAATTTTGATTTTGTTTTTTTTTCTTTTAAATAATCCGACGACGGAGCCTTTGTAAGTGAAACAGTAGTTTTTCTTGCATACTCTTGAGGTGAGGGAATTTTCTCAATTTTTTGCCTAAAGTATTAGAGTCAATTGAGAATAATTTCCAATAATTAACTACTTGGTAAAATTTTAAAGTTTTTGGATAACACAAATTTAAGCTGGTACCATCTTTTGATGGGCGTTGTGAGGGTGCTATAACCTTCCTCACACGTAACCGAACTCCCGAACCCTGTTCTGGTTAGCAGACCTGAACCTATTCTTTTAGGGACCCTTAAACTTAGGTGTTCCCTAAAAGGACAGATTCCATAGGTGACCAATCGCACCTAGATAAAAAAGATTGGTGGCGACTCCCAAAAGTCAATGTCTAGCGATAGATCCCCGGATCTAGACGTTATGACAGCTTGGCGACTCCACTGGGGACCTTGAGAGTCAGGCCAGCAAATAATTTGTGTTATCCAAAAGCTAAATAAAATTGAACCCTTCTTGTATATATGTGTTATTATTCATTTATATTTTATTTACTTTGTTAATTATGTCATTCATGTGCATGTGCATAACATGAGCTCTACACCCGAGCTCCGTCCCTCTAGGAGGGAGTAAAGTACCTATTGCTTTCGTGAGGTCTAATGCCTCCGCAGTGGCTAGCGAAATACTCCCACTCAAATTGAACCTTTTTCGCTTGTAGCCTGTAATGGGTGAGGAGTAGGGTGCCTTACTAGTCTGTGATGGACAATGATGTAAGGAACAATTTGAGGACCTTTAGACTCTGACCTTAAAACCGCATGTAGTGAACCTTAAAGAGTGCCTACACCTAGGATAGACCCTTTCTACCCAATGATAGATATACCCTGAAATTAGGACACAAAAAGGGTGTTTTCTAATCATTTTGATTGTCCTTGACTTTGTAACATTATCATCAGCATCACTTTCATCTACGGAACTAACTATGTTGTTTGTCTGATTGTATGCATCTATATTCTTTTCATGATCATGTTTCAACACAATCATTTGCATTCATTTTATACTAGATTTCATTCAAAAAATGTACATTTCATTTGTGTATCAAAGCATCATACATAAGGCACAGCATAACATTTCTAATCATAAGTATGGTACTCAAGGTCTGAGGATAGCTCCATCTAGCGAAAACCCTGCTCATCCATACAACACAAGATCCAGAGCAAGGCAAATGGAAGAAGAAAGTTCTCATAGATTTGAAAAGCTAGAAAAAGCTCAGGAGAAGATTGAAAATGAACTTAGCAAAATTCTGGAGGCTCTCAATAATATGAATAAAGGAAAAGGAGTTGAAGAAAGTACAAGCCAGCAAAAAGTGGCTGACCCATTGTACCCTCCAGGTTTTGGCCCACCTCAAGCCCAGTCTGCCCAAGAGGTCCCACCACAACATTTCGCATATCCAACATATCCTGGAATGCCATCAGCTTTCAACCCAGGGCAGTATAATAGCTATATAAATCCTGTCTTCACTGAAAAGGTAGTAGAACCAATTCCTGATCTAGATGATTTAAAAGAGAAGGAGAAGGAAAAGATGAGAGTAGAGGCTGAGGAAAGTTCCAAGATTAGCATGCTAGAGCAGAGGCTACGGGTTGTAGAAGGATTTAGCTTTTATGGGTCAGTTGATGCTGCTGGGCTCTGCCTAGTTCCTGATGTGGTTATCCCCTATAAGTTCAAAGTACCAAAATTTGAAAAATATGATGGTACAAAATGCCCCAAAACCCACATCACCATGTATTGCAGGAAGATGGCAGCTCATGCACATGATGAAAAACTCTTGATGCATGTCTTTCAGGATAGTCTTACTGGTTCTGCTGCCAGGTGGTATGTTCAGTTGGATAGGACCCACATTCGCTCCTGGAGCGATATGGCTCATGACTTCATCAGTCAATATCGACACATCATCGATTTGGCCCCTGATCGTTTATCTTTGCAAAATCTGGAGAAAAAGTCAAATGAGTCTTTTAAAGAGTATGCCCAGAGGTGGAGGGATATTGCTTCTCAGGTACAGCCTCTTCTGACCGAGAAAGAAACTACAGTGCTATTTGTTAGCACTTTAAAACCTCCCTATTATGAAAAGATGATAGGGAATGCAACAAAGAATTTTGTCGATATGGTAATTTCGAGAGAAATCATTGAGAGCGCCATCAAGAATGGCAAGCTAGAAGGGAATGAAGCATCTGGCAAAAGAATCCCGAAGAAAAAAGAAACTGAAGCTCAGGCTGTGAGCTTTGATAGACAGCAACTTAGGGGTTATTCACCCTACCCCCCACCAGAATATCTACCCTATCACCCCACTGTAAATAACACTTCTTTTCACCCATACCAACCACCATACCCCCAAACCTATCAAACCTCTCATAGACCCCAAAACACCATGTATAGTTCTAACATTCATCCTACCCCAAAACCACAAATTTGCCCAACTAACCCTGCTGGTGGCTCGCGGGAGCAACGAACCACTCGCGAAAGACCTATTTTTGACCCTATTCCCATGACCTATACGAAATTATACAAAGAGCTCTACAACAATCATTTGATTGCTCCAAGTAAATTGGAACCCCTCAAGCCACCTTACCCCAAGTGGTATGATCCCACTGCCCACTGTGACTACCATTATGGGATTGCTGGTCACTCCACCAAAAATTGTACTACTCTGAAATATAAAGTGCAACGGTTGATCAAGGATGGGATGATCTGCTTTGACACTGGAGGGATGACTGCACCAAATGTTAGTGGCAATACTTTGCCAAATCATAATGTGAATGTTATAGGTGAAGAGCATGAGCGCCATGTGAAGAAAGAAGTGATAGATATTAAGACACCTCTCGATCAATTGTTTGATGTCTTACGAAAAGCAGACATGATACAACTGGTAAGTCCACACAGCTATCATGGAGCATATATAGCTGGTACTAGTTGTAAGTATCATAGTGGGGCAAGAGGCCACTCCATTGAGACCTGTAAACAATTTCACTGAGAGGTGCAAAAACTTTTGAATTCACATCAGATGGAGGTCTACGAAGAAAAAGAAAGCTTGAAGAATGCTGAGGTGTGCATGACTGATAGGCCTGAAAAGCTGTTTCCCAAACCAGTGACAATTCGGTGTGGAAACAAACCAAAATCAGTCATAGACAAGCTCCTCCCTAGGCCGGTAACTTTTAAAGTCCCGACTCCTTTTCCATACAAAGATGATAAAGCTGTGCCCTGGAGATATGGATGTGACACTGTAGTGCAGGGGCAAAAAGAAGAGGTCTCCAAAGCTGATGCTTCCAATATTACTGGTGTAGGAGGCATTACTCGAAGTGGGAGATGTTACACCCCAAAAATGCTAGAGAAGGCTAGAAGGGAGAAAGCTAAAGAAGGAGAAAGATGAAATAATCCAGAGATAGAGCCTGAAGAAGATCAGCCAAAGCCAGTATCAGAAAGAGAGGTTTGTGAATTCCTGAAGCTGGTAAAACATAACGAATATTCAGTTGTGGAACAGTTGAATAAAACGCCAGCTCGAATCTCATTGTTATCACTATTGCTGAACTCAGAGCCACACCGAAATGCCTTGCTGAAAGTGTTGAATCAGGCATACGTGGCACATAACGTGTCTGTCGAATATGTGAATCACTTGGCTGGAAACTTAGTCATGCCAAATCACATTTCATTCAGTGATGATGAGATTTCTTTGGAGGGAAAGAGAAATGCTAAGGCCCTGCATATCACAGTAAAGTGCCAGAGCCATATCATAGCTAAAGTCCTTATCGATAATGGTTCTGCCATCAATATCATGCCTATGTCAACTTTGGCAAGGCTACCCATCGACTATTCTCATATGCGAGATAGTCAGATGATTGTGAGAGCCTTTGATGGGACCAGAAAAGAAGTTCTGGGAGATATTGAGATGCCCTTACAAATTAGGCCATGCACCTTCAATGTAAAATTTCAAGTGATGGACATCTCTCCGTCCTACAGCTGTTTATTAGGAAGACCATGGATTCACATGGCAGGAGCTGTGCCCTCTACTTTACATCAAAAGATCAAGTTCAATGTAGAAGGTCAATTGGTAGTAGTAGTTGGGGAGGAAGACATGCTGGTGACTCAACCATTGAACACTCCATATGTAGAGGCTGTCGAAGAAGCATTGGAATGCTCCTATCGATCTTTTGAATTGGTCAATACTGTAGGTGAAGGATTTCAAAGTCAGCCTTTTTCAAAGATAGTGGTGAGCCAAGTCATCAATAAAGGCTGGTGTCCAGGACTAGGGCTAGGCAAAAATTTACAGGGAATTAAAGAACCTCCAACAATAGCAGACAATAGCGATAGGGCAGGCTTAGGCTATGAGATGGCAGAGTGGGAAGTCAAAAGGAGGCCATCAAGAAAGACACCAAGACTGATGTTCATCCCACACTTGTATGAAACCTTCAGACCTGGAGGATTCATGAACCCAGATGCTAGAAAAAGTGTGGAAGATGATTTTGCCCAGTTAGCCATTAATGCTGTTGAAGATGAGGTGAGGGTAAATCAAGAAGAGTGGGTTCGTCTCTGTCCACCAGATTATGAGCTGAACAATTGGAGTGCTATCGAGATGCCTTCGACTTTTGATTTAGATGCAATGTAATTGTAGCATCCCAATAGCTATTGCCCAAGGCATTGGGGTGATCTTTTTGTTCGGGCCATTCATCATTTATTATTTTTAATAAAATTAGGAAGTATGCATTTTCATTCATTTCTTCTTGTGTTTTCATTATTTCCATCTTCCCAAGCACATCTTGCCAACATATCCCATTTCATTCAATTGCAGGTCTTTAAATGAACATGAGGATAATCATGATAACAATCAAGAGGTTAGCTTTGAGAATTCAATTAATACTGATGAATTTGATAATGAAGAGAATTCTGAAGAATATGTTATGCCTCCGGACCTAATGAGGATGATTGAACAAGAAAATAAGCCGATTGAGCCCCATCAAGAGTTAGTAGACTTAGTGAATCTGGGAGATGTAAAAAATAGGAAAGAGGTCAGAATGGGCACTTCACTTTCATCTGAAGATAGGCAACAACTGACAGACCTACTCCGAGAATTTGTAGATATATTTGCTTGGTCTTATCAGGATATGCCAGGGCTGAGCACAGAGATAGTGGAGCACAGATTGCCTCTAAGGCCAGAATGTAAGCCAGTTCAACAGAAACTGAGACGAATGAAGCCCGAAATGCTACTAAAGATTAAAGAGGAGGTGAAGAAACAATTTGATGCAGGTTTTCTACAAGTGGCTAAGTACCCAGAATGGGTAGCCAATATAGTTCCAGTTCCTAAAAAAGATGGAAAAGTACGAATGTGTGTGGACTATCGGGACTTGAATAAGGCTAGCCCAAAGGATAACTTTTCTTTGCCTCATATTGACACACTAGTAGATAACACGGCTAAGCATTCGATTTTCTCCTTTATGGATGGTTTCTCGGGGTATAATCAGATAAAGATGGCTGCAGATGATATGGAGAAAACTACTTTCGTGACCATGTGGGAAATTTTCTGCTACAAAGTCATGCCTTTTGGGTTAAAAAATGCTGGGGCAACATATCAAAGGGCCATGGTAACACTCTTCCATGACATGATGCACAAAGAGATCGAAGTGTATGTAGATGATATGATTGCAAAGTCTTGTGGGGATGAAGATCATGTCACCAGCCTCAGAAAGTTATTTGAGAGGTTGAGAAAATTTCAGCTAAAATTAAACCCAACCAAGTGCACCTTTGGGGTAAAGTCAGGGAAGTTGCTAGGCTTCATAGTCAGTGAAAGAGGAATTGAAGTTGATCCCGATAAGATACGGGCCATCCAGAATTTGTCACCTCCCAGCACACCAAAAGAAGTTCGAAGTTTTCTGGGAGATTGAACTACATTTCTCGGTTCATCTCTCAGCTTACTTACAAATGTGATCCCATCTTTAAGCTTCTCCGTAAAGATAACCCTGGAAAATGGAATGAAGAATGTCAAGAGGCGTTTGATAAAATTAAGCAATATTTATCAAACCCTCCAGTATTGGTGCCACCTGTTTCAGGGAAACCTTTAATCTTGTACCTAACTGTATATGAAAATTCAATGGGATGTGTGCTGGGGCAGCAAGATGAGGCTAGCCGGAAGGAGAGAGCTATTTATTATCTGAGTAAAAAGTTCACTGAATACGAATCCAAGTATTCTTCACTGGAGAAAATGTGTTGTGCATTAGCGTGGACTACCAAAAGACTTAGACAGTACATGCTCTATCACACTACATGGCTCATAGCGAAATTGGATCCCATTAAGTACATCTTCGAGAAGCCTTCTTTGTCTGGGAGAATCGCTAGATGGCAAGTAATGCTCTCGAAATATGACATTATATACGTGAGCCAAAAAGCAATAAAAGGGGATGCTATAGCAGAATTTCTTACAGATCGTGCTACTGAAGAGTACGAGCCGATGAAGCTAGAATTTTCTGATGAAGACTTGATGGCTATTTCTCAACTGGAAGAAAGGGAGCATGGAGAAAAATGTTGGAGAATGTACTTTGATGGAGCTGCCAATGCCTTGGGGCATGGAATTGGGGTAATTTTGATTTCTCCAGAAGAACAGTACTACCCTGTAACAGCGAGGTTAAATTTTAATTGCACAAATAACATCGCTGAGTATGAGGCATGTGTTATGGGCCTGCAAGCTGCTATAGAAAGAAGAGTGAAAGCACTGAAAGTGTTTGGAGACTCAGCTCTAGTTATATACCAGTTGAAAGGAGAATGGGAGACGAGAGACTCAAAACTCGTTCCATATCATAAGTATATTCTAGAGTTGATGAAACAATTTGAAGATGTCCAGTTCGATCACTTACCTCGTGAAGAAAATGTGATTGCTGATGCATTGGCTACTCTGGCTGCAATGATTCGAATTAATGATGACACTGACATTCAGCCCATAAAGTTAGATGTTAAGGATATACCAGCGTATTGTTCTAATGTAGAGGGGGAAGAAGATGGAAAACCCTGGTATTATGACATCTTACAGTATGTCAAGGATCAGCAATATCCAGTTCATGCAACAGAAAATGATAAAAGGGTCATCCGAAGATTGGCTATGAGCTTTTTCCTGGACGGGGATATCCTTTACAAAAGAAGCAAGGATCAAGTACTATTGAGGTGTGTAAATGAGACTGAAGCGAAAAAAATCATTGAAGAGGTGCATGATGGAATATGTGGGGCACATACTAGTGGACATATGATGGCAAGACAGATTATGAGAGCGGGATATTACTGGTTGACGATGGAGAATGATTGCATTGACTATGCTCGTAAATGCCATAAATGCCAAATATATGCTGATAAGATTCATGCTCCGCCATCTGCTTTACATGTTATGGCACCACCATGGCCATTTTCAATGTGGGGCATGGATGTCATTGGTCCAATCACCCCAAAGGCTTCTAACAGGCACAGATTCATTTTTGTGATGATAGATTACTTCACAAAATGGGTAGAAGCAGCTTCATATGCAAATGTGACACACTCTGTGGTTTGCAAGTTCATAAAAAAGGAGATCATCTGTAGATATGGACTTCCGAAGAAAATCATTTCAGACAATGCCAAGAATCTAAATAGCAAGATGATGCAAGAAATATGTGCTCAATATAAGATCAAGCATCATAACTCGGCACCATACCGTCCAAAAATGAATGGGGCAGTTGAGGCAGCCAATAAGAACATAAAGAGGATTTTGGAAAAAATGATCGAGACTTACAAAGATTGGCATGAGAAGTTGCCATTCGCATTGCATGCATATCGAACGTCAGTTCGCACCTCTACTGGGGCAACCCCATTTTCGTTGGTTTATGGGATGGAGGCTGTACTACCAGTGGAAGTAGAGATCCCCTCTTTGAGAGTCTTAAAAGAAGTCGAGTTAGAAGAGGCTGAATGGATTCGAGAACGTTATGAGCAGTTAAATTTCATAGAAGAAAAGAGATTGACTGCACTGTGCCATGGTCAGCTATACCAAAGAAGAATGATGAGGGCTCATGATAAGAAAACTCGGCCTCGTTGCTTTCGAGAAGGAGAGTTGGTTTTGAAAAGAATTCTCCCAATCCAGCACGATAGTAGAGGAAAATGGACTCCGAATTGGGAAGGGCCGTATGTGGTGAAACGGGCCTTTTCGGGTGGAGCGTTGATACTGACTGAGATGGATGGAAATGATTTACCCCATCCTGTAAATTCTGATGCTGTGAAGAAATACTATGCTTGAAAAAAATGACAAAAATGGAAAAATGAAAATGAAAATGAAAAAATGAAAAAATGAAAAAATGAAAAATGAAAAAAATGAAATGATGAAAAAAGGTGAACAAGGAGGACTCAAGGCGAAAACCCCAAAAGGGCGGTTTGAGTCATAGGGGGTTTGTCTAAGTTGAAAACCTGAAAAGGCGGCTTAGATAAGGAGAATACAGCATCGAATCTGAAAGTCTGCTGATATGGAGGTTAGCAAATTTAGAAGAGTTCCAAGTTGTTAAATACATCAGAGGGTTGAGTTTTCAAAAAAAAACTTTGAGATGTGTTATCATGATTATCTTATTGTTCATTTTAGGCTTTGTCCCCATACCTATCCTTGTAATTCTTTCTTGGCCAAAGTTTACCGACATTTGCTAATAAAGAAACATTTTATTTCATTCTTTGCTCTTTTTTTCTGATGACTGTTTCCCTACCATTCATATCCCTTTCTTCTTAATACCCCATCATGAAAGGAATGTGCAAATGCATTCTCCCTTTTTGAGTTGGAAATAATGATTGATGAATGAATAACAACATAAAAAGATTTTTACATTACATTGAATAAATCAAGAGTGATAAAGGCAGAATCGAGATGTTCAGCTCCTGATTAGGACATTGAATTGGAGAAGAGATTTTTGTTACAGGAAGAATATGAATGGAAGAAATAATTAAGAGTCACACTGGTTCGATCTTAGAAGAACAGTGCAATTGGATCCTTGAGGAATCAAAGGGCTTGACACCCAAGAAAGAAAAAAAAGAGCTTGAGAAACTTGAGTACCATACATTGAACAGGAATTAATTGGCCAACATTTGCATAGCATGCATTGAAATTCATATGCATTTGCATAGCATACACTACTTTCAGGAAAGTATAGTGTACAAATTCAAGAAGCAGGGGTGTTCCAACATCCCACATGGAAAAGACAGATATGAAAAGACTTTGCAAGTTTGAGAAGAAACTTGTCAGGTAAGTTCCTAATCCTTGAAATAGGATGTCTCTTGGTATCGGGGTTGATTTATAAGACCTTTGGGCATAATCTCCTGAAATCCCTTCAAACACAACTTTCAACTCCTTCGGACATGATTGTCTAGGAGTATTTACTTTTTCAAAGTTCGTTGCCTCTGTTTAGAGGAGCAATTTACTTTTCCCAAAGTTCGTTGCCTCTGTTTAGAGGAGCAATTTACTTTTCCCAAAGTCGTGGTACCTCTGTTTAGAGGAGCAATTTACTTTTCCCAAAGTCGTGGTACCTCTGTTTAGAGGAGCAATTCACTTTTCAAAAGTCATGGTACCTCTGTTTAGAGGAGCAATTTACTTTTCCAAGTTCGTTACCTCTGTTTAAAGGAGCAATTTACTTTTTTCAAAGTTCGTTGCCTCTGTTTAGAGGAGCAATTTACTTTTCAAAGTTCGTTGCCTCTGTTTAGAGGAGCAATTTACTTTCCAAAGTCGTGGTGCCTCTGTTTAGAGGAGCAATTTACTTTCAAGTTCGTTGCCTCTATTTAGAGGAGCAATTTACTTTTCAAAGTCGTGGTGCCTCTGTTTAGAGGAGCAATTTACTTTCAAGTTCGTTGCCTCTGTTTAGAGGAGCAATTTACTTTCCAAGTTCGTTGCCTCTATTTAGAGGAGCAATTTATTTTTCAAAGTTTCGTTGCCTCTGTTTAGAGGAGCAATTTACTTTCCAAAAGTCATGGTACCTCTGTTTAGAGGAGCAATTTACGTTTCTCAAAGTCGTTGAGCCTCTGTTTAGAGGAGCTTTGGTAAAAAAAAAAAAAAACAAAAAAACAAAAAAAAAAAACAAAAAAAAAAAAACAAAAAAAACAAAAAAAACAAAAAAACCAAAAAATGTTGAGTTGAGTCTTGATTGGGTGTCTACGTCTTTGCGCAATTTCTGTTTCACAGAAAATGTGCAAAGAAGGGCAGCTGTAGACACCCAATTGGGTCCAGGCCCAGATCAATTGGGCCTGGCCCAAATGGGTAAGCCCAATTCAATTTTATCTTGTATTTTTTTTTTTCTTCTTCTTTTGTATTTTATGTATTGTATTATTTATTATTATTATTATGTATTAATATATGTATATATTAATTTATTTATTTTTTGTTAATATTTATGTGTATTTTATTATTTATGTATATATATATTTTTATCTTTTTTATTTTATTCATTTTGGTATTTTTACTTATCTAATTATATATCTGATATATTTTTTTATTATTATTTATCCTATAATA